TACTGCAAGACCTATTTTGTTGAAAATAAACATTTTCCCACTTTGCTAATGAAACATCGTCAAACATTAATGGTAATTGATTTCAATAAAAATATAAATATCTTCAACAGTAGCTATTCCACAATAGAAATAAKGACCTAACGGTGTTCCATCAACTAATCCACATTGTACATTAACCATATAGGAGATCATTCATAAATATTAAAATTGATCATATATTGTAACAATATGTATAGAAAATTTTATAATTATAAAAACACTTCGTACACCAAAATTGTTAAAAAAAAATCCCCTGAATCCGTAGAAAAAAAAATCGAAGTAGCCATTCGCGTAGGAGTACAGAGTCACAAATTTGAAATTTGCCTGAAAATGTGTACTTAGGCATATCACGAAAACCCTATTTCAATCAAAAGTCATCTAGCTGAAATATTAAGTGATGACTCATATCGTAAACAAATTGTATATAACAACCTTTCATTTAACATAATTTTCTGTTTAACGAAATATTTTTGAGAACCAAATGTATTTAATTCTGCTTAACGAATGTTTTTTCAATATGATTTATATTTTTCTCCCTGGGACTTGATAATATGAATGTTTCCCTGTAGGTACCATATACTGTGGTGGTGGAATATATAAACGGCAAGGATTTTGACGGAAAACTCCGTCGTCTGCAGGTTTCTCTCCGCGATGTGATCGCGYCCGCAAATGGCGGTCTGCACCTTGCTATTTTCACCGCTACGCCACGTCGGATACGATGTAATCCGCGTGCACGACGTTCGCGTCCACTTCCGCAGACGGCTGTAACCCTACGTCCGCGTACTTCCGGTCGTGCCTTTTCATGAATTTGATCACATCATCATAAACGATGTTTTTCACGTCATCCGCCCACAGGAAGTCCAAGTGATTGAACTCCGGGAACGGCACGACCTTTCTCTCTGCCACGTTCGGGAGCTTGCCCGCTAAGACCTTGACGTCCTGAAAAGTACGCGTGCGACGACGATCGTATATAATAATCACAACAAAAGGAACAATAAATACATATAGAACAATGGAGAATACTCAACGATATTAAAGTGAGCGCATATTTTAAGGGGCTTCACATCATTTACACCACAGTACAGATGAGTGAGCCATGGGAAGAAGGCGTTATGTAAACAGTGTTATGTATCTACGTATATATTTTCGGCCCTATTCCCGTGGCCCACCTTATTTATATATATGCAACCAACAATAAGCTTAATCTGGTGTAACATGTACATATTATATAAAATGGAATTTTCGCGCGTTTTGTGCAGAAAATGCCCAAATTTACAAAGCGACGAACATGCGCGAACTAAGACGAAAACACGGATCGTATTGAGCATACTTGAAATTCCTTATATATATTTAGTATAACTGTATAACATGACCTTAAATATTATTGAGTAGACTATAAAACAGATTGTGTGTGACAGTCGAAAACTGTATAACGCATTTACGAAAATTAATATTATTATTTTACCTCCATCGACGACAGCCAATCGTTTTGCGCGTGATATAAAGCAACTGGCACTGTGATGCCTGTCAGGTCGTACGCCGGCGGATCCGGTTGTCCGTATTTTTCCAAATTTTTCTGTTTGTTGTAGTTGTATTGTCCAAACCATTGATCTATTGACACATTTTTGTGGGTAAATGGAATGATACATAAATCAATCAAATATATTCTATATAATTGTAATAACATAATATATTACAATAAAAATCATCGAGATCTTGCACAAGCATTCACTGATAAATCATTTATATTATCAGTGATAATAATTATATATAGCCAATGATTCGTCGAGCAGGCTCACCCATGTTCCGTATTTTATTTTAATAATAAAGAAATTATTAAAATTTTAATTTTTTAACWAAGATCATATTTTCAAATTCTTGGATTTTGACACAATTTTACGAGTGTCGCCTAAGTAATGATAAATACAAATCTACTTTTTTTAATTAAGAACCTTTCTTTTTGTAGTAAGTCATTGCCAACGAAATAGTTGTTGTAATATTATCAATACACATAAATTGAAATTTCTGCGAGTAGTTTCTGTAATTAAACGAATAAATTCCACCAATTTGGACAGATGGCCACAATTTTTCGACTGAAAWCGAGAAATAGTTTTCCTGCAGTGTCTTAGAAAATGACCCCTTTTAAAGTAGAATGGAAGTAGCATGGATAGATAAAATTGAATCAAAATGTGGAGTCTAATCAATGGTGGATTGAGCCGGATAAGAACACTCACGAGTTGCAATGGCACTAATTACAATATGGCACGTGTGGAAAACATTATTATACATAATGAGAGTGGGAGTTGGAACATCTAAGGATAACATTTTGAGATGGCCTTAATGGCCAGGATACCTCTTGCCTGCACAGTGGAACAACACAGGTGATGATGGCATACATATTGATATGCCGTATAATAGTGCCTGCAGGACGTCGCAATCTAGAAGATCTGATTCTCGCCAACCAGAAAACTATGGACGTAGCCCAGTGCAGGGCAACTGAAAACATCGAGTCGAAATCTTTACATATTTTATGTTATTTTCATGTATTTTATTTTCCATTATGCATCATGCTTGACACGAACAAAAGATCAAAACTCTGGCGTATCTCCTACACACGGCTAACCCAATTATCGTCATATTTTGTTGGTATACATATTAGCTATGATATTAATTTACTCTACTCACCGCGTTTCATGAGCTGAGCAAAATGAGTGAGTTGACGTGCGGATGCCCCTGCTGGAGTGTGTGCCAAAATTATCGGCAGAATGCTCTGAAACRGTTTTACAAAAAATCGTGGTTAAGCCTATGTTATGCCTCAAGTTTTCTTCTGGTAGATGATGCTCAGAATCATTTATTTTCCACTCGTTTCATCGGTCGATTTTTG